TTAGGAGCGTTGGTGCAAGGATGAACAGCCTTAATGGGAGAGAGATAGAAGAAAACATGAGAACCAGGAGAAAAAGTAAAACAAAGTTTTGGAATTAGCGTAGGCTCAAAGAAAATTAAGTAAACGTGTCCCCACATTCTCATACACAGACAGTCAGATAGATAGTCAAATAGATAGATAGATAGATAGATAGATAGATAGATAGATAGATAGATAGATAGATAGATAGATAGATAGATAGATAGATAGATAGATAGATAGTCGGACGGACAGATGGACAGATAGATAGATAGATAGACAGATAGACAGACAGATAGACAGACAGACAGATAGACAGACAGACAGATAGACAGACAGATAGACAGACAGACAGACAGACAGACAGACAGATAGACAGACAGACAGACAGACAGATAGACAGACAGACAGACAGACAGACAGATAGACAGACAGATAGACAGACAGACAGATAGACAGACAGACAGATAGACAGACAGATAGATAGACAGGCAGACAGTCAGATAGATAGATGGATGGATAGACAGACAGGAGGCGCCCCGAACAAAACGACTACAGAAGGACCAGCACGTTCGGTTGGAAGCTCCACCGGCTGCGGCGTGTCAGAGGAGTGAGGGGCCCACGGGGACTGGTTACAGACCGGGGAAGCATCAACAACATTTGTCAAGAGGAAAGGCTGATAGATTGGGTTTTGTCTCTATCTAGTGGGTATTTTTACTTACTGGAAGGTTTTCATACAGAGACGAGTCCAGTTCGGGTTTACAATCATCAAGTTGAGCAGCCTTTATAAAGACAAAGTAAAAACAGGAGTGTGTTATTTAATTTCCCATATACTAAGTCAATATAGATATTTTGACACTGACATTGAGCGTTTAATTTATTTTGGCTAAAGGTGAAGAGAGTTTAGTCTTTTGTAGGAAACACTTACCGTTACATTCCCATACACAGGATCACTCAATTTAACATCATGAGCGTTGCCTCTGTCATGATCAGGTCGGGGATGATTCATCTTTACCATTAAGAGAAAATAAATAACGTCTATAAACAACTCACTAGAAAAAGTCACTGCTACATTCAGACTTTCAATCTTTTAGATACCAATTAATTTACCTGATCAGTAAACTTCTGACCATTTTTCTCACCTGAGACTCCTGTGTGTCATTTCTCTTTTTCATCCACCTGGTTCTCCTTTAAAGACGGTGATTTGACACAATTACAACCAATCAGATTCAGACATTATTTGATGTTTAATACACAGATATGATTTGAACTAATGATATTTCTCTATAGGACATTGCACTGTCCTTTTGAATGTGATGAAATCTGGTCTATCTTCAGGATTTATGTCAGTAATGATGTGAGCTTCAGATTTCCTCATTCAATAATGTCTCGGTTACATATAGTAACCCTCGTTCCCCGAGGGAGGGAACGGAGGCGTACGTCGTGACCGACTGATAGGAACTAAACAAGCCAATACACATTGGCGTGCAATCATTTGCATCAGCTGCGCAGCCTCGCAGTGCGGGGTATATAACGAGCAGCTGGTGTGATTGCACTTCAGTTTTTTGCAGCGTGCCAGCGCCTATTGGAGGATGCAACGCCTCTCGTGCTTGGTAAGCCAAGGCGATGGCATCCACTATCCAGTGGGCCATCCTCTGCTTGGAGACAGCCTTTCCCTTCTGCTGGCCTCCGTAACAGACAAGAGGTGGTCTGAAGTCCTGATGCTTTTTCAAAATTAGTTAATGAGGCCCTTTTAAAATAATTTTTTAACATAAACATTAAGTGCTTATTTTTTAAGCAACAAAATGTCCATCTTCATCTTTATTGTCGAAGATACAATGCAATCTTCATATTTATAATGGACCTTCACCATAACAACTGTGATTTGTGTGGTGCTGGTGACAGGAACGAGCTATTTAATCTTTATTTTATTAGTTCATGACGTCTCACTGAATTCACTACTATAAAGTACTTGCATGTAATTATAAGGGTACAATATGTAAAGTTTGGGGAATAAAGGGGTAACAACCAGGAGAATTAAAACATTATTTATACTGTAAGTATTATAGAACTAAGGGGTACTTATTCTACTATTATAACACAACAATCTTACTTTTTTTCATGTTTCAAGGCAAGTAAAGCTAAAACGATGTTCCATGTAAGTGGTGCTTGTTGCCCTCTTGTACATAGATATGTACCCTGTAATTTTTAAAAAGCCTATACAATATATTGATTCACCATTAAGGTACGCAGTGTATGTGTTCTCGCTAAATTGCTCCCAATTATAAGATTGTTATGTCATAATAGTAGAATAAGTTCCCCTTAGTTCTATAATACTTACAGTATCAATTATTTTTTAATTCTCCTGGTTGTTACCCCTTTATTCCCCAAACTTTACCCACTAAGCAAAAGGATGTCCAAAAGACGTCTTTTTAAAGTCTTTGTCACAAAAGTCGGACGTTGAAAAGACGTCCACTGAGGAGCCAGAGTTAAAGCTTTTATGACATCTTTTTTTGACGTGTTCTGCACGTCCGATATAGACGTTCATGGACCCTTCGTACAAGGTTAAAAACTAGTTCAAATGTGGTCATTGTGGACATATTTTTTACATCATTTATGGTCTCATTTAGACATAATTACTTTGACTATTGCTGTCAGATGATCTTAGTGAGAATTAGCAGAGGTTTAGATGTTGATATTTGTTTCATTTGAAGTGTCACCATTGTGGTGATCAGTGTTTGCTTTAGTTGGGCTCTTGGTCCCCTTTATTTTTATTTTAACTTTTCTTCGGCTGCTGTAACTATGTGTTTGTAAAACACAGTTGATGTTGCAAAGAAAGCCAAGAATATGTAAGAGCAGGTGTTATCAGCTTCATGTTGATGTTGAAGAAACCGTCACAAAACAAGTATCTAATGTTGTCAGATACTTTGGCATTTCTAGTCGCCTATCTTGTGGAACTACAATATTGGCACCAATAGCATTTATAATATCACTTATTTAGAGGTGGATAAAAATTATGTGCATACGATGTTTAGAGCAAATGTATCATGTCACAAACGGACATCAAGATTTTGCATATGATTCACAACAATGGTGACAAAAAAAAATCGTCATGCTGCAATGCATGATGGGTAGCTTTCATAGTTCAAAACTCATTATTGCTTCCCAAGATTTTTTTTTTTGATTGTCACCGTTGTTGTGATTCATATCCAAAATCTTGATGTCTGTGTGTGACTACATTATGCATTTTCTCAAAACAATATTTTTTATTCTATTAGCACCAATATTGCAGTTCCATAAGGTTGGTGGTTATGAATGCCAAATATAAAAACAATTTCAAACTCAACATTTGATGCTTGTTTTGTGATGATAATGTCATCATCAACATTGAGCTGATAACACCCGATGTTACTTTTTCTTAGCTTTCTCTGTCACAATAATTGTGTAATACTAACATACAGTTGCAGCAGCCAAAGAAACGTTAAAGTAAAAATTAGGGCCGGGACTTTAACGCGTTAATTAAGATGAATTAATTACAGACTTTAACGCGTTAATTACACAAATTATTTTAATCACACTTAGTTTTGCACCGCGGAACGTTTCTCACTGGATGAGTTTCGGCGGACCGATTATACTGGCGCACCAACTAGCGTTCATGACGAAGAAGCTGACGAGATCGCTTTGGTTGGCCGGTGGATGGGAAATTTTGTTATAAAAAGCGAATGGATGGAAGCGTCGATAAGAGCATGGTTGTGTGCAAGCTATGCAACAAGGAATTCGCTATTGCTATTATGGTGTGTTCACACCGAACGCGAATAGAGAGTCAAATACGCGTCTATCGCGTCTAGTTAGACGCTTGAACATTCGCTCGAGTCCACATTTTTCAACTTGCGCGGAAGACATTCGCGGCAAACGCGTCGCCCAATTCGCGTCATTCGCAACACCCGGCGCGACTGATACGTCTATTCGCGTCTTTGCATTGACTTTGTATGTAATCTACTCGCGCAAATAATTAAATTCACGTTCGGTGTGAACACACCATTAGTGTAGTGTAGCAATATGCTATTATTTTGCTACACTTAATGGCAAAAATTGCACTGGTCTGCTGGACTTGGTTGAACAAAAATAAACTATTTTGTTGCTTAAGCTTATGTATTCAGTCATTATTCAATAGTATACTAAAAATCCATGTGAAAAAAAAATACTTCTCAGTGTTCTCAGGTCAAATATGTATGCAATTAAAATGCGATTAATTTCGATTAATTAATTACAAAGCCTCTAATTAATTAGATTAATTTTTTTAATCGAGTCCCGGCCCTAGTAAAAATAGAGGGGACCAAGAGCCCAACTAAAGCAAACACTGATCACCACAATGGTGACACTTCAAATGAAACAAATATCAACATCTAAACCAGTGGTTCTGAGGATCTAAATCAGGTGTGTTAAATAAGGGAGACATACACAATATGCAGAGCGGGGGGTCGCGAGGACTGGAGTTGAGAACCACTGATCTAAATCTCTGCTAATTCTCACTAAGATCATCTGACAGCAATAGTCAAAGTAATTATGTCTAAATGAGAGCATAAATGATGTAAAAAAATATGTCCACAATGACCACATTTGAACTAGTTTTTAACCTTGTACGAAGGGTCCATGAACGTCTATATCGGACGTGCAGAACACGTCAAAAAAAGACGTCATAAAAACTTTCATTCTGGCTCCTCAGTGGACGTCTTTTCAACGTCCGACTTTTGTGACAAAGACGTTGAAAAGACGTCTTTTGGACATAGTTTTGCTTAGTGGGATATTGTTCCCTTATACTTACATGTAAGTACTTTATAGGTACACTATAATTACAGAAAGTTACACTGTAAAATCGCTTTACTTACACAGAACTTTCCGGGCTGTAATCTAAAGCGTTACCCAACTTTCTTATTCAGTCATTCATTCACACACACTACAAAGTACCATAGACACACATCTTACCAAATCACTAACATCGTAATGATCACTGCAGCTCCACAAACCCCTCCAATGGATATGTATAATATCACCAGACGTCCTGCAACTGAGGCAAAAGAGAAAAATATCTCAACAGATAAGAGCTGCACGATTAATCGTTAAAAGATAGCGATCTTGATTCAAAGCCAGATGTGCTTGTGCTAGTTCCATCACAAAAACAACGCATGCGACGGTCGATAAATGTGTCTTGACTTGAGAAGAAACTAAGCAGAGCAGAATGAGTGAGGCAGAGCAAAGCGCAAGTAGGTCTGATGATAAGAACCCTGACTTTGTTTTTGTAACGAAAAGAGGATTTTTTTGATGTGGGCTTTTTTCGGTTTCAAACCAGATGATGCTGCTCAGCAAACCATACATTGCAAGCAATGTTTAGCCATCGTTTCTGCACCGAAGGGTAACACCACCAATCTGTTAAATCATCTGAAATGTCATCACATACTACAGTATGAGATGGTTAAAAACAAAACTGCTCAATCACAGTACCAGCGGCCAGACGAAACAAAAGTCTATAAAAGCAATGCTATTCAACGCAACCCAAAAATGTTGATAGGCTAGTGTTTCTTGCTAAGAATCTTTAATAGGTCTAGCCTGGCATAATACCTTTGAATGTTGTCAATGTTTAATTGTCTTCTTTTATTTATTTAAACATTACATTATTTTTGTTTACTGCATTTGTTTAAATGAGTATTATGTCTTATTTTGTTTCTATCTTGTTTGGTAACCTAATGTTCAGGGTTTGTAGATCTTTGAAATAATAAAGCTTTTCAGAATCGTGAGAGAATCGTGATCTTTATTCCAACCAAATAAATTGTGATTCTCATTTTAGCCAGAAACGTACAGCTCTAGAACAGATTCATTTGAATCACTTCAGAAAGAGTAATGTAAGTATATGAGCCGCTCTACCTTTGACAGTGACAGTTACAGCGTCTGATCTCTGAGATCCATGTTGATTGTGAGCCTGACAGTAGAAGCGTCCACTCTGTAGTGCACTGAAACTCTGTCCAGATCCAACAGCTGAGGTTTCATTCTCCTTAAACCAGCTGAAGTGCAGAGCAGGAGGGTTTGAGTCACTGATGCAGTTCAGAGTCACTGAATCTCCCTCCACTATTACACCAGATCCACGCATCAACACTGAGACGCTCCTGGGACGGTCTAAAATAGACAAAAGAAAGTGTATATTCATGTTTTGCAATTGTAAATCCTTTAATTTGCTGGTTACTACAGAAACTGAACCATCATTAACTCACACATGACATTTAAAGTCACAGCATTAGAGTATTTCTCTCCATGTTCATTGATGGACTTGCACTTGTATTCTCCACTGTCATCAGAGCTGATCTTTGAGATGCTGTAGATTCTTCCAGATCTTACAATCGTTCCTCCTTTAAACCAGTGGATTTCTTCAGGAGGGTTTGAGTCACTGATGCAGTTCAGAGTCACTGAATCTCCCTCCACTATTACACCAGATGGACTGATGGACACTGAGACACTCCTGGGTGCATCTAAAACAGAAAACAAAACGGTAAAATCTTTTTTTTTCTGTTCTATGCCGTGTTTTCCCCAAAGCATTGTAAGGTAGATTGTACAAATCACTGGTACCAATGGTCTCTACGATCGACTTAAGGCCTGTTAAATCCAACACAAATCTTGCATGAAAATTCAGTCTGATTTTGCATGCAATATGTCTTTTAAGATTGATGTTGAATAAAAAGGCAGATGTGCTGATTGAAATGCAAACTCACTTATTGACAATAGGTGGTGCTTACAGAAAAGAAGAAATAAGAAATAACTCTGATCTGGTACCAAAAGCACAAACTTTTATCTTAGTGTGAACAAAATCTTCAGACTCACAATGCTTCAGAGAAACACTGCCCTATTTATACTACAGTTACCGAACCATCATTTACTCACACATGATGTTTAAAGTCACAGCATCAGAGTATTTCTCTCCATGTTTATTGATGGACTTGCACTTGTATTCTCCACTGTCATCAGAGCTGATCTTTGAGATGCTGTAGATTCTTCCAGATCCTACAATCGTTCCTCCTTTAAACCAGCGGATTTCTGCAGGAGGGTTTGAGTCACTGATGCAGTTCAGAGTCACTGAATCTCCCTCCACTATTACACCAGATGGACTGATGGACACTGAGACACTCCTGGGGGGGTCTAAAAGGGACAAAAATTAAAACCTTAAATAATCTAATTCAAACACAATCTCTTAATTTTGAAAAGAACAAATTAATCTGCACTCACACATGACATTGAGCTGAACATCAGGAGAGACAGGAGTATGTCCGTCTACAGCACAGCTATATCTGCCTGAATCCTCTCTTCTGACTGACTGCAGCAGGAGTTCATTGTTTCTGTCTCTTCTTCTCTCAGTTAATGGCTGTGAGTTTCTGTACCAGATGAATGTTGCTCTGTCAGTCAGAGCGCAGCTGCTTTTACATGTCAGACTGACTGAATCTCCCTCTGTCACTCTCTCAGGAGACTCCACCTGAAGATCTGAACACAACACACACATTATATCTAGTGCTGCTGTCACACACTGATTATTATTCAACATAATGCACATAAGAAGAGATAAACCTCATCAAAGTCACCTGTGACAGTAAGAGTCACTCCTGGATTACCAGTCCATTTTCCATAAGGTTTATCAGTGATGAATCTGAAAGAGTACATGTGTGAATCCTTCAGTGTCACATGACTCAGTCTGACGTTGCAGTTCTGCTGTTTATCTCCCAGATACTGAAGCCTCTGACTGTATTCAGGGTCATTAGACAGATCTGGACACTCATCACCCCTTGCAGGCTCATTGGTCCAGAACACTTTCGTGATCTGATGTCCAGTAGGGTATGTATAAGTGCATGTCATTATCACTGTTGAGTCGTTTAGTGCACAGATGTGTGAAGGACTGTAACTCACACCCCAATCATCACTAGAAACCCCTGAAACACAGAATTCACCTTGAACAATTTAGCAGCATAAAAAATGCCGTATCCAATTTATCTTTAGTGTTTCTGAAGTGTTGCACTGACTAACCGTGAATCATGAGAAGAACGATCAGAGGAAGAGGACGAGCCATTCTGAGTGATGTCACTATCAACACCTACAACAAATGTACAGTGGCTTATTTTTCAACTTTAACTCTTGTCGTTTCTGTCTCATTTTTACACATTACGTTTTTCATATTTCCTCAGTGCATTAAATGTTTCATCAAATATATATTATGTGTCTGTGGCGTATTAAATATGGAGTCATCTCATCTTTAACAAGGCTTATCAAGCAGAATCACTGAAGGAAACTGACTTCAGCCACAGTCTTAGATGAACTCCACTGAAGAGAAAAGAAGACATTACATCTGAAGATCTCAGCAGAGGAGGATTAAACAACTCCACAAACAGCATTACCAGCTTCACTTATTACTAACCAGACTGACTTTATTTCTGTCAGACGTCTACAGAAGGTTTATTGAGAATTAACAGAGGTTTAACTCTGTGTTTCATTTGAAGTCACCATAACAGTGATCAGTGTTTCCATTAGTTGGGCTCTTAACTCTTATTAGTGGGTGGCAAAGGCAAGGCACTCACTTATTGCTCAAACTTATTCCACTTTTTATTCGGCGCTACTCCTCCCGCAGTTTTTGTCACAGACCCATGAATGAGGTGTCAAAACATGCGGCCTATTGAGGAGAGGTGTGCTATGACTTTTATAAGCGATCGGGGGTACGATGTTTGCCCCCGGGGCGAAAAAGCGGCCGAAAAATCCCATAGACTTAACATTGTGATGAACTTTGAGGAGTCACAGCTCAGAGCAATGATTTCGCAGAAATGTGTGATTTAGCATATTGGAAGTGGCTGGCAGGCTCTGTAATGCTGCGTTCACACCAAATGCGAATTGAGCGTCTGGAGCGAGTGATTTCCATGTCAAGTCAATGTAAAGACACGTTTACGCGCATCTGGAGGTCCTGCGGCACGATAGACGCGTTTATCGCGGCGCGATTTCGCATCCAGTACGCGCGAAAGAGGCGAATATTTGGAGCTTTTTGTGCATTCATGCGTTTGAAGCGAATTCGCGTCTGACGCCCGAGTTAAAGAATCTGAACTTTGGCGTCTGTTCGCGCCGCGTTAACCAATCAGGAGCTTGGTTGCTGCTGTCACGTGGTGAAGTGACAAACTGGGTACGCCTCCGGAGGGTCTGGTGGACCCAAGTACGGCGACAATGACAATGACCCCTACGCCACTGTTCTGCTCTCTAAAGCAAATACAGAGCGGTGACTCTTTTGCTCGATCAACATCAGCCATCTTGCAAACAGACAACCGTCTAGCACTTGCCCCTCCCACAATAAGCAAATTTTGCCTTGAAGGCGCGTCTGTTTCGCTTCAAATGCTCGCTTTATTTATTGAAATTTATTGAAAAGATTTCTGGTACAGGATATACTATCCTCTATTCCAGACTCTAAAAAACACAACAAATATATATTTACATGTAAATTCACATTTTAACATTTTATAAAAACACATCAATTTCATAATTGAAGTTTTTTTTTTTTTTACAATCATAAATCAATGACATAAAATTAATTACATTAGTTACTGACAAGCTTTATAATTATACATAACACCTTTTGGTGTTATGTATAATTTATACACACGTCCTATTCACTTTGGACGTTTCTTCATTGGCAGCTCCCAAGCAACTCCATAGCAACCAAACAGAGTACCCTAGCAACCGTTTAGCATGACCTCTATCTCTGCATCAGAACATCATATAGAGATGGGGGTTGGCTCGTTTGTTTCGGTTGGGAAACAGTCTGTAAACATCACCATGGTAACTGTGTAACCACTCTCTAGCAACCGTTTAGAGCCACCTAGCAACCATATTGCAACATATAGAAGCCATATTTCAGCTCCACAACATCGTACAGACATGGTTGTTGGCTCGTATGCAATCATGTACAACATTGTAGCAACTATCCTAGCAACCGAGTGCCGAGTTTTGCCACTGCAAGCACCCACTCACATTTTCTTCAGGAAATGTACATTCTAGTTATATCTTTTTTTCTTTTTTGGCTGCTGTGATAGTGTCAAACACATTTGTTTATGTGGGAGGCAGGTCAAGTGCATAATGATAAACATCTGTGTCTTGTTGCAGTAATTGCAGTAATTGGCATGGAGCGACTGGATAAAAGCCACTGGGAAACTGGGAGATTCTGAGAGAGAGTGGACTGAGGACTCGTGCACTGTGTCTGTTCCAAGCCCATAGTGGACTTTATGCTACTTTGATCTACAGAGAAGTTTATGGAAACGCAGAGATCACGTGTTTGTTTTTGGTTAATTTTAAACTAATAATAACACTAGCCTCAGTCAGCTGACCCTGTCCTCTTCCTTCCTTATCATCAAACTTTGCTAAAGTGTCATACTGTTCTTGGACCTACAGATGGAGACACTAGCTCAACATAAACCCCCTGTATCTTGACTATAGCTGCGCATGCACACGTACAAGTTTGTGGATCACCTAATGTAGCATCAGTGACCTCATCTTCTTTTTCTTATGAAAATTGAGCACCATCTGTTTAGAGATTGAACATAGAACTAAAAGAGAAATACGCTATAGTTCTTAGCTTAAAGTCAAACAGAAATCAATAAAATACTTTATTTATTTATCACCGTCCCCTTTTGATTGAGAGCAGCTTTCATTATCTAGTCAGCCTGTATTATACAGTTATCTGTTGTTAAAAGATTAAAGTTGATTTTATAATGAGTTTTAAGGTGTTTGTCACCAACATACAAAACACTGCTAGAGAAAACATTGTGCTATTGGACTTTTGATTTTGAACCATACAGTTACTGAGACACAGCCCTGTGACAACTAGCCCCAACCAACCTCCCATAAATCCCTCCACACTTAAGATATTTAACAGAACAGTTATAAAATCATGCTCTTACCCGTTTCACCAACACCCTTGACCAGTGACAGCACTACAAATGATCAGGATGAAACCAGTGTTGGCTTTTTCACACCCTGAGTGACACGTGATTAACACCTTATATTAAAATATGAGCTCATGACACCTCAACTAGTGCAGATCGAGCAGAGGAAGAGTTTTAACAGACAACATTAGACTAATGCATAAACATTAAACGGAGAGATGCTTTAATTCAGTCCATGTTTTCAAACTTGGGAATATCTATATTTAATCAGTTGCAAATAGACAAGGAACCTGTTCTTAGGAAACAGAGAAAATAAATGCTTGAATAACTTTACTTAATTTGCATATGCAGACCAACAATCCTAGCTTGTAAAACACTGGAAGGTATTGCAGTAGCAGTGGCGTCAACAAACACATTTTATCACTAGCATTGCCAAGTGTGCATTTGATAAACCTCCAATTTACTGATTTATTAATAGCAACCTGAAGTGTTCTAAATCTAAATGTTTTTATCATGACAACTTCTAAGCATTTTTTTTGTCAGCGGCCTTGTTCTTCCTGAAAGCATCACGTCTCTAAAAATACCGTTTCCTCTTTAGTGAGTAAGACTTCAGCATCACAGTGTGATCACGTGACCTTCATAAGCGATGGAGAGACGCTGAGGGACGTCACACCCAAGAGGAAGAGGAAATCAGTCCTGTCAGAGTAACGGTTGAGGCCTTTTCACATTTGGTGGCTCTAGAAGGGAAAACTGTGTTCTTGATGCTGACCGTGGTCCACTTGCCCCTTATGAAACTCAATGCGCTAGAAATCTGGGCTTTCTGTTCGATCATAACCTAAAATTTGATAAACAGATCAGTACTGTTGTAAGATCGTGCTTTTTTCATCTTCGCCAACTTTCTAAAGTGAAAACTTTTTTAACCAAGAGTAACTTCCAAACAGTGATCCATGCTTTTGTTACATCACGTTTAGACTATTGTAATTCTCTTTATGTTGGTGTCTCTCAGTCTTCCCTCTCCCGTCTACAGCTAGTGCAGAACACAGCTGCTAGACTTCTCACTGGGACCCGTAAGTACGAGTCGATCACCCCGGTTTTATCATCACTGCACTGGCTACCTGTCAACTTTAGAATTGATTTTAAAATTGTATTATTTGTTTATAAAGCACTCAACAATTTGGCCCCTCAGTACCTCACTGATCTACTTCGCCCATACACTCCCTCTAGAAGTCTGAGATCTAGCGATCAATGTCTACTCATCGTGCCTAGATCTAGACTTAAAAAGCGAGGTGATCGCGCCTTCGCAACTGCGGGCCCTAAACATTGGAACAGCCAACCTCATAACATTAGATTAGCCTCGTCTGTTTCCTCCTTTAAATCTTCTTTAAAGACATATTTATTTTCCTTGGCCTTTAATACTGCTTAATTTTGGTAATTATGGTTTATCTATTGTTGTGTTTTCCTTTATTGGTAGTTTTTATTATTATTTTGTTTTATTCCGTCCTGTACGGCACTTTGGTCAGCCTTGGTTGTTTTTAAATGTGCCTTATAAATAAATATTGTATTGTATTGTATTGTAGTAATGGCTCTAGCCTTTTAAATAAAAGATCCAAATTGGTAATCATGTCACTGAAGCTGCTGTTAGAAGCTCATATTTCCATAGAAACAGTTCTGAGATGCACGGTCAGGACTGCACAGGACAATTGGCTGGACAAACCTGAAATGAGCGCTCTTTTTAACGCTATCTGAGCATCAGAAAAAAAGATGGATCATGTCAAATTTTAATGCTCATTTGAAATTATTATTAAAATGTGACTTTGGCCAGTGGTTCCCTTTAAAAATGGAATTCGCACTGCATGATGAGACGCTTATGGGGAACGCCTCAGTGTGACTGGCAGGGGTGTAGTACCACATTTTGGGCCCTGGGTACAAAACATCTTGCTGGGCCCCTCGCAACGGACTTTTGACTTGAGCTCGGCGACTTCTCGAACGGGGTGGGGGGGGGTTGGTTAAAGACGGCGACGGACTTTTTGACTACTCGGTACCCCTTTTCCCACCGCTACCACGCCCCTGGTGACTGGTATCTGAAGCAACTGTCAAATCATGACAATCTTATTGGCTAGCGACAGCCTATGACATGCTAGTGCGACCTATATAAGGGGTGCCTAGGAAACATGTCAGCCTTTTTTCGTCTTCATGGACTGATTGTGTTTAAAGCACTGTACGAATCAGGTAAAAACAATGCATGAGAAACACTTGAAGCAGTGTGCCGACCCGTGGCCAAGGTTTTTGACACACGGTGACACAACAGGGCGGTGCGAGATTATTTAAAAATCAAGATTAATAATTTAAATTCAACTCTATCTTTTACGGGCAACCACTGCAGAGAAATCAAGGCAGGAGAGATGTGCTGAAATTTATACGTTCCAGTCAGAAGCCAGGCTGCTGCATTTTGGACCAATTGCAAAAGCGATTGATATCATAATGAAGAGAATTGCAATAGTCTAAACGAGAGATTACGAACGCATGAATTCATTTTTCGAAGTTCTTCTTAGATAGATACCTTTTGACTTTAGCCAGGCGAAGAAGACGAAACTCTACCTCTCATTGCAGCCTGATGATCCGACGTTTGCTGCTCGCATCTCAGCCTGCCTGACACACATTTCTTGCTGGACGAAGGACCACCACGTAAACTAAACCTTGCGAAGACAGAGCTGCTTGTGGTCTCAGCCAACCCAACACTACACCACAACTTTTCCATCCAGCTAGGCTCATCATCCATAACCCCATCAAGGTCAGCCAGGAACCTTTGAAGTTGGGATTGGTAACGCTTTAGATTACAGCCTGGAAAGTACTGCGTAATTAAAGCGATTTTACAGCGTAATCTTCGGTAATTATAGTGTACCTATAACGTACTTACAATATAAGTATAAGGGAACAATATTTTAAGTTTGGGGAATAAAGGGGTAACATATAAAAATATTTATACTGTAAGTATTATAGAACTAAGGGGTACTTATTCTACTTTTATGATATAACAGTCTTACATTTGGGAGCAATTTAGCAAGAACATAGGCTACCTTTTTGGAAATAATGGTGAACCAGTACATACTGTATGCTTTTTAAAAATTGCAGGGTACATCTATGCATTTATAAAGTAATCTTTTTAACAAAAGCGCACTGAAAACGAAAACTATTGCAACTTTTGCTTAAATATTGGGGAAAGAAATTTGTTTCATGTAGTGGTACTTGTTACCCTCTTGTTTCATGTAGTTACAGGGTAAGTGTGACATTGCGGTCTGTAAATTAAAGTGGTGCTTGTTACCCTCTTGTTCCATGTAGTTACAGGGTAAGTGTGACATTGCGGGCTGTAAATTAAAGTGGTGCTTGTTACCCTCTTGTTCCATGTAGTTACAGGGTAAGTACAATAAAAATGCTTACACAATCTTATATCACTGACTCGGAAACCTTTATTTATTATACAAGCACCACTTACCCTGTAACCACATGAAACCAGATATATTTCCCAGTATATAAAAAAAAATGCAATAGTCTTAGCTTTTCTTGCATTGAAACATGTTAGCCCAAACATCTGCACTTTTGCTATAAAAAAAAATAATATATATATATATATATATATATTTTATAAATGCATAGAGATGTACCCATTTTTAAAAAGCCTATACAGTATTAGGCTATGTATTGCCTTGGTACACAATTATTACAAAAAGGTACGCAGTGTATGTTCTCGCTAAATTGCTCCCAAATGTAAGATTGTTGTATCATAATAGTAGAATAAGTACCCCTTAGTTCTATAATACTTACAGTATAAATATTTGTTTATTTCTCCTGGTGGTTACCCCTTTATTTCCCAAACTTTACAAATTGTTCCCGTATACTTACATGTAAGTACTTTATAGGTACACTATAATTACAGAAAGTTACACTGTAAATTCCTCTTAATTACACAGTACTTTCCGGGCTGTAATCTAAAGCGTTACCATCATTTCACAGACTACATTGCTAGAACGGTCCTACAGATTTGCCATATACAACATTAGGAGGATCAGGCCCTTCCTATCAGAGCTACACAACTCCCTGTCCAAGCGCTTGTTCTATCCAGACTGGACTATTGTAATGGTCTCCTGGCTGGTCTTCCAGCATCACTGTCAAACCTCTGTAACTGATCGTGAATGCTGCAGCCAGAGTAGTCTTTAACAAGCCGAAGAGACACACGTAACTCCTCTCCTCATTAAACTGCACTGGTTGCCAGTTGCCGCTCGCATTAAATTCAAGTCACTGACGTTTGCCTACAGAACAACCACTGGCTCTGCACCCGTTTACCTAAACTCTTTACTTCAGACTTACGTACCATCCAGAAACTTGGGCTCTGCAAGTTAACGTTGTCTTGTGGTGCCATCTCAAAGAGGCACAAAATCTCTTTCTCTGACCTTCTTCTGGTCTGTTCCTCAACCAGAGCTGCTGAATCCATGGCCATTTACAAGAAACAGACGCCTCTTTTACGGCAACACTTGATCCATTAATACTAACTTTCTCTTCTACTCTATATCTAATTATAAAAAATAAAAATAAAGTACATGTACTGTGTTAGATTAAACTGGTAAGGGTCGTGGCACTTGCATATTGTTGTCATATTGTTAGTTTAACTGCTTCTATTGTTCTCATTTGTAAGTCACTTTGGATAAAAGCGTCGGCTAAATGATTAATGTAAATGAAAAAAAAAAACACGACTTAACCAATCCATTTATCTGCTTGTCAAACTTTAGGCCATAATTTAGGCCCTTCATTTTTCACAGATGGGGGTAACCCATTGGGTTAAGTAACCAAGGTTGTGAATTGGCACTAAAAGCATCACTAGGTCCAAACAGAATCACTTTAGTTTTACTTTCATTTACAGTGAGGAGATTTTTTTGTAAGCCATAATTTAAGTTCCTGAATGCACTCATACAGAGCTCCTAATGCATTTTTATCATTAGCTTTAAAAGTAAGGTACCAACTGAGCATCATCAACATATAAGTGGAAAGAGATTGCGTATTTTTGGAAAAACAGGAATGGGAGCAAGAATGGAGCCCTGAGGAACACCACAAGTCAGAGGAGCGGTGGAGGAGGTATTTTGTCCAATACGAATGGAAATTGTACAATTTGTTAAAAAGGACCGGAACCATTCAAGAGAAGTATCTCTAACTCCAACACAATTGTTTGAAAGAGAAATTAATAAATTGTGATCAACCAAATCAAGATCTAGTAAGATCAAAGCAACAGCATTTCCAAGAAGTCATTAAACACTTTTAAAAGGGCAGATTCTGTACTATGTAATTTCCTGAAACCAGATTGAAAAGTTTCATAAATGTGATTAGAACTCATGACAGCTTGTAACTGAATTGGACAAGCATCTGTGCCCCGTGGCTCGGGTCCCTCTCACGCCCTCTATGCAGCATCCGGTGCATCCTCTGGCTCAGCGGACAGAGCCGTTCTGGCACCATGCCAAGAAGCGCAGGAGGTGTTGGTTGAGGCCGAAGAGGAAGAGTCATCTGAGCTCTCGCGACCTCCCTGCCCCGCTTATGAGGAGCTGTTGGGGGTTATGGAGCGCGCCTCAGGCAGGCTGCAACGGTCTTGGGAGCGCTAGGGAAGAGACCACAGATTGCAGATTGGACAACTGGTTCCTTCCGGACATAACCCAACTCCAGTGAACCTTCCATTCCTTCCCAATCTCCATACTGAGATCACGTGGACAAGGAAGAAATCGTATTCTGCCCGGATCCACCAACATAGACATGCAAATTATGCAAATGTCTTGGGGATGCAGGAGCATGGATACATGGCGATGCCCCCAATCGACGAGACGTTTGTGATCTTGAAAGCTCCATATGTGGCAGCAGGTCAGGCTGTTGCTTCACTCCACGATAGTGCTTCAGTCTTACCAAGCCGATCGGCTGAAGTAGTTGGATCAGGGTAAGGGTCTTTCCCCTGATGCGATATCAGAGATCTGGCTCTCTGCACCACCAAGCAGACCGCCGCCATGGTTGGTAGATTAATGGCAGCGATGGTGGCAATGGAGAGGCACCTGTGGGTGATCTTGCTGGGTCAGTGTCATTGTGCACAGCAAAATCCCCAGTGTTAAATTAACACTCCTGGTGTACATATATGGGTCTACAACTACAGGGTGTTAAAAATTAACACTGAAGCAGTGTTGGAGTTAATTAGATAATTAAGTGATTATTTAAGTGATGATTGGCCATTAGTGGTGACACCTAATGTTAATAAGAAGAATCAATGAAAGAAAGAGAAACAAGAACAGAAAAAAAGAGAAACACAATAACTACTGACTTCGAGCCATTACACATTATTGCACTTATTATTACCAGTTTGACTTTATTTATGTCATATCTACAAACAGTCTTATTTAGATTTACAGAAGTTTAGATGGTGATGTTTTATGGAATGTTTCATTTTATGTCACCATCATGGTGATCAGTGTTTGATTTAGTTGGACATTTGACCCTTTACTTTTCAATATTAGTTTGCATCTGGCTGCTCCAACTCTGTGTTCATAAAGCACATTTGTTGTGGCAAGAGAAACTATGACCTGGGCTGCGTTTCCCAAAAGCATCGTAAGTATAATTTTATTGTATAGACCATTTGTTGATATTGTTCTACAATCAAGTTAGGCTTAAGACGCTTTTGGTTGCGTTTTGATTGGTGACTCCCATCATGCACTGCAACATGAAGCATTTGTGTGTGTGTGAATGCTAATTAATAAATAATTAGCATTAACTATAAGCAATTATAATCAAACAATGCATAAAGCAACAATATATTTTCATGATAACTTCTACTTGTATCCATTGTCACATTTTCTCCAATATTTTCAAAATACTCTAAATAGTAAATAGTAAATCCTCATAAGACACTCCTGTCAATCATCCAAGGCTCCACCCACACAGTCACATGAAGACTGTAATGTTTTGGTGTGTGCCATCGTCCACTACGGCATATTCCTGTTAGCCTGAGACAAAAATGAGCCAAAAATTAGATCCATTTACCAAGTTCAACCATTTTGAAATGTTTAAAAGGCACACTCAAAGTCTGTCTGCAGTGGTGTCAAGAGAAGACTGTACATTTAATAGCACAAGACTAATCTCTATTGACTGACAATGAGAAAAGCTGGACACTCACGGTAAGATTCTCATAAATTGTTACATTCTCATACAGAGGGATGGTCATTTTAGGAGCGTTGATGCAAGGATGAACGGCCTTAATGGAAGAGAGATAGAAGAAAACATGAGAACCAGGAGAAAAAGTAAAACAAAACTAGTTTTTGAATTAGCGTAGGCTCAAAAGAAAAAGAAAAAAAACGTACCACCACATTCTCATACACATATGAAATCAGCCTATTTTCAGACTTCACGATTATGCCATCAGAATTGTTTGTGGTGGACTGAGAGGAAAAAAACAGAAAGAAATGTGAGAAATCCAGTTGCGATCAGTTCATGTTCAGTGGCAAACCCTGTATTTGAGCCCATATGGTACTGAAACAGACTGACCTTGGACTGCAGTTTCTTCCTGCTCGAAAAGAATACATATTATATTAACACAACATAATATTAAACTACATAACTAAATAAAAAAAGTAAATTCAGACTCTTACCAGGTTAGTAACACAATGATGACAGTAGCTACAACTCCACAAAGTGATGCTACAATTGCAGTATGATATATCCTCCAATATTTCACTGGGACAAGAGGAAAGATAAAGATAAACTGATCAGTTTACCGCCATTTAAAAAGAGTAATGTAAGTATATGAGCCGCTCTACCTTTTACAGTGACAGTTACAGCGTCTGATCTCTGAGATCCATGTTGATTGTGAGCCTGACAGTAGAAGCGTCCACTCTGTAGTGCACTGAAACTCTGTCCAGATCCAACAGTTGAGGTTTCATTCTCCTTAAACCAGCTGAAGTTCAGAGCAGGAGGGTTTGAGTCACTGGTGCAGTTCAGAGTCACTGAATCTCCCTCCACTATTACACCAGATCCACGCATCAACACTGAGACGCTCCTGGGTGGGTCTAAAACAGACAAAAGAAAGTGTATATTCATGTTTTGCGATTGTAAATCCATTAATTTGCTGGTTACTACAGAAACTGAACCATCATTAACTCACACATGACATTTAAAGTCACAGCATTAGAGTATTTCTCTCCATGTTCATAGATGGACTTGCACTTGTATTCTCCACTGTCATCAGAGCTGATCTTTGAGATGCTGTAGATTCTTCCAGATCTTACAATCTTTCTTCCTTTAAACCAGCGGATTTCTGCAGGAGGGTTTGAGTCACTGATGCACTTCAGGGTCACTGAATCTCCCTCCACTATTACACCAGATGGACTAACCACTATAAAAGTATTCTTTGGTGGGTCTGAGCACAAAGTAGTAAACATCTTCATTAAGCATCCTTATTTATTACATTACATGCATTACAAAATATTAAAGAATTATGCAATACTCACACATGACATAGAGCTGAACAGCAGGAGAGACGTGAGTGTGTCCGTCTACAGCACAGCTATATCTGCCTGAATCCTCTCTTCTGACTGACTGCAGCAGGAGTTCATTGTTTCTGTCTCTTCTCTCAGTTAATGGCTGTGAGTTTCTGTACCAGATGAATGTTGCTCTGTCAGTCAGAGCGCAGCTGCTTTTACATGTCAGACTGACTGAATCTCCCTCTGTCACTCTCTCAGGAGACTCCACCTGAAGATCTGAACACAACACACACATTATATCTAGTGCTGCTGTCATACACTGATTATTATTCAACATAATGCACAGAAGAAGAGATGAACTTCACCAAAGTCACCTGTGACAGTAAGATTCACTCCTGGAACACCAGTCCATTTTACATCAGGTTTATCAGTGATGAATCTGAAATAGTACATGTGTGAATCCTTTAGTGTCACATGACTCAGTCTGACGGTGCAGTTCTGCTGTTTATCTCCCAGATACTGAAGCCTCTGACTGTATTCAGTGTCATTAGACAGATCTGGATACTCTCCATGATATTTTACCAGTGTTTTGGTCCAGAACACTTTCTTGATCTGATATCCAGTAGGGTATGTATAAGTGCATCTCATTATCACTGTTGAGTCCTTTAGTGCACAGATGTGTGAAGGACTGTAACTCACACCCCAATCATCACTAGAAACCCCTGAAACACAGAATTCATCATAAGCACAGTATATCATCAAAATGTGTTGTGTAATTTGATAGGTATTTTATCCTTAATAAATGCTTGAAATATGCAACATACATCAATGCAAAATGAGTGTCTGCAGAGTGAACAGTTGCAGTGACTCACCGTGAATCATGAGCAGAAAGATCAAAATAAGAGTAGCCATTCTGTCTGACATCACCATATAACAACACCTACAACAAATGTACAGGAGATTTTCAAAATGATATTTTTTGGTATTTTGTAATTAACTGTAATTTGAACCGTCTCCTACAGTGGATAGAAATCCCCTGTGAGTTTAGAATAGGGGCGTCTAGACAAGTTTGGACACCCACCTGTATCTATTACAGTTTTTCTCAATCGCTTTGGCTCAATTCTCAAATTCTCAGTATTTTTTTTTTTTCAAAACAATAGGTTCAGATCTCTGAACAATAACATTTGAATTTATTATTGATTTTAGAAAATTGCATGTGTTTTGACAGATGTGTGGAAAAGAGTAAGTACAACTGTCTACAATTTGCACAGTAACTAAATGCAGTTAATTCTCATTGAAACTCTTCACAACTTCTAAACATTCATTCATCGTGTGAGCCATGACTTGCAAAATTATTCATTCAGTTATCAAAATCTGTCAGACATGCATGTCTATTCCATAAATACCTATGACATGGAAATTTTGTAATATATGCCAAATTGGCAAATGGCCTGCCATTTTAATTATATAGGAATCACAAACTTACCAATCAACCAATAAAGTTACAGTATAGGCTATATAGGGTTTTCCCAGTAATGTTTAATTGTTGAGATCTGTAAAAAGCTCAGTGAGATAGACAAGAGCATTCAGCTACAAAACGTCTCGGGTTATGACTATAACCCTTGTTCCCTGAGAAGGGAACGAGACACTGTGTCGTAAGATCGACACTTTGGGGACGCTCCCTTAGCGTGCGCATCTGAAGTATGAATGAAACTAATCCAATCCTGATTGGTGTTGCGTCGTGACGTAACATGTGACGGCATAACCGGATGCATAAAAGTGACACTGATACAAACACACACTAGCCTCGCGATGAAGCAAGACGCTCTAAGGCCTCGAGGGGCGTGGCAGGACGACGCAGTGTCTCGTTCCCTTCTCAGGGAACAAGGGTTATAGTCATAACCCAAGACGTTCCCTTTTGAGGGAACTCGAACTGCGTCGTAAGATCGACACTTTGGGGAACGAATGCCCACTAGGCCATGCACCGAAGACAGGCCTGCCCCGGAGTGAAACTGATTCAGGCACTCAGCTAGGACGAGAGCACATGTGCGCCAGGCGTACTAGGGAGGTGCAGACTATAGAACCTAACAAAAGTGTGTGGGGTAGCCCAACCGGCTGCCTCACAGATCTCCTGGATGGGAACTCCCGAAAGGAGGGCCCTAGAGGACGCCATGCCTCTAGTAGAATGAGCCCTAACGGCTAAAGGTGATGGCAAATTGCGCACCTTGTAAGCCGAGGTAATAGCCTGAACAATCCAATTACTAATAGTTTGCTTGGATGCCGGGAGTCCCTTCTTAGGTGACCCAAAACACACAAATAGTTGGTCCGACCTCCTCCAAGAAGAGGACCTCTTGAGGTACACGCTCAAAGCTCTGATGGGGCAGAGCAAATGAAGCTTCTCTTCTTCTGCCGACACATGAGGTGGAGGATGGAATGCCTGAAGGACCGTGGACCGAGCCGTATTCGTAGGAACCTTGGGCACATAGCCCGGACTCGGGTGCAAAAAGGCATTAACTCTGCCAGGGGCAAACTCCAAGCAAGCTGGTGTCACTGCCAGGGCTTGGAGATCTCCCACCCTCTTAAGAGAGGTAATAGCTAAGAGAAATACCATTTTTAGCGTAAGATCCTTAGGCGAAGCCGACTGCAGAGGTTCGAAAGGGGGCCATGGATAACCCTTCGAGAAACACCGCCAGGTCCCAGGCAGGAACCCTGGACCTGGTCGTCGGTCTCATCCTCCATGAAATTATCTCTGAAAACCATACTCGGGCCGGCCACAACGGGGCTATCAGAAGAAGACTGATGCCCTCCTGACGGACCCTCTACAGGACTCCCGGGAGCAGAGCGATCGGGGGAAAAGCATACAGGCGTAGCCTCGGCCAGGCCCAGTGGGGCTGGATGTGTGAGGGAGAACCAAAATGGACAGTGGGACGTCTCTCGAGACGCAAAGAGATCCACTTCCATTGGTCCAAACCTCTCCCAAATCAACTTCACCACATCTGGGTGAAGTCTCCATTCCCCGGGCCTCAGCCCCTGCCTCGACAGGATGTCTGCTCCCTGATTCTGAACCCCCAGAATATACATTGCTCTGATAGAAAATATTTTCCCTTGGGACCAAAGGATTATCTGATGCGCCAATCTGTATAGAGGGCGTGATCTGAGTCCCCCTTGTCGGTTCAGATAAGCTACCACTGATGTATTGTCCGATCGTATCAGGACATGGTATCCTTTGATGTCTGGGAGGAAGCTCCTCAGAGCCCTGAACACAGCCAACATCTCCAGGCAATTTATATGCCAAGAATGATGATGGTCCTGCCACAGACCCCTGGCAAAGCGGCCTTCCATGACCGCGCCCCAACCCGTGAGGGAGGCATCTGTCGAAACGGACTTCCGGCGACATGATGCTCCTAACACTGGCCCTTGGGACAGGAACCAAGGTTTCTTCCATATTACTAGAGAATGAAGGCATCTGCGCGTTACTCTGATCATACAGAACGGATTACCCTTGGGGGAAAACCCCTTGGCTTTTAGCCACCACTGAAGGGGCCTCATGTGTAGAAGGCCCAAAGGAATAATGTTGGATGCCGCTGCCATGAGGCCCAGCATCCTTTGAAATTCGCTTTACAGTGATGGCCTGGCCTAGCTTTATCCCGGACACCATCGCCAGAATGGACTCGATACGCGCGGGAGACATTTGTGCCCGCATCGTAACTGAATCCCACCCCACGCCCAGAAACGTTGTGCTCTGAGCGGTTCCAACACACTCTTCTTTGTGTTGAGTCTCAACCTCAAGTTCTGAATGTGGCCAAGGACGACATCTCGATGCCGAACTGCCATCTCTCGAGACTGGGCCAGAATGAGCCAGTCGTCGATATAATTCAGTATGCGAATGCCCTGAAGTCTCAATGGAGCCAGAGCTGCATCCATACAC